TTTTTGTATTCTTTGTGGAAGCTCGATTGCGAAATCCTTCCGACATCGAAGGTGTCTGACGGATTTCGGCATGCGCGCGCGACGACGCGCGCGTGTGCATTTCGTCCCTCTTCACAAGGGATTGTCGAAAAACTGCGATGTTAGAACAACACATGTCACCGCATAGTGTTTTTCACCAGGGAACCCCAGGGGGGGGATACCGGCTGGCTTGGGACATTGTGGTTTCATATTTAGGATGGACATGTGGTCAGAATCAAATATGATTTAAATACCCGAAAGGGGGGCCGATAACGCCAGGGGGGGGTAGAGCCTATTCTTTTCTTTAGAAAGGAGACTTACTTTCTGTTCGCAGTGAATTGTCCACTCCACTGCTCGCGCAAAACATCCCACCCACCCACCCGCAACTTGGTTTGCAAAATCTGTTGAGACCGTGACGGTGGGTACCAAATGGCACTTGGCAGCGACAACGACGCCGATGACGACAGCGACAACGACGACGACGACGCCGCCGACAACGACTACGACGGCACCGACGACGTCTCCAACGACTTCGACGACGCCGACAACGACGACGACGACGCCGACGCCGACGACGACGACGACGACGACGATGACAACGACGACGACGATGACGACGCCGACGACGACGACAACGACGACACCGACGACGATGACGACGACGACGTCAACGACGCCGACGACGACGACGTCGACGACGACGGTGGCGGCGACGACGACGAAGCCGACGTCGACGACGACGAAGACGACGACGACGCCGACGCCAACGACGACGACAAAGATGACGACGACGTCGCCAAAGAAGACGACGACGAGTGAGGAGGGAGGACGACGACGGCGACAACGACGACAACGACGACAACGACGAGGGAGGATGGAGGACGGCGACGACGCGAACGACGAAGAAGGCGGAAGGACGGCGACGCCGACGACGACAACGACGAGGGAGGATGGAAGACCACGGCGACGACGACGACGACGACGACGACGGCGACAAAATAGGAGGGACGGCGACGAGACGCCGACGACGGACGACGACCACGACGAGGGAGGAGGAGGAAGGACGACCACGGCGACAACGACGACGGAAGGGACCACGACGCCAAAGAGGACGACGACGACGACGAACACGAGGAAAGACAGAGGACGTCGTAGGCGACGGCGACGACGACGCGGGAGGAGGGAGGACGGCGACGACGACGACGACGACGCAAGAGCGCGCGCGCACGCTTTTGTTGAAAATCCGTGTTGCGAAACCTTGTATTTTTGTAGGTTTGTTTGGACACGCGCTGTTGAAATCTTTCCGAAGCAGATGGGTTTTGAAGGATTTCGGCATACGCGCGCGACGACGCGCGCGTCTGCACTTCGTCCAGTTTTTTTCAGAGGGTTCTCGCGACGACACACGCGCAAGGGCGTTCGACCGATTTTGACACGCGCGCGCGAAACCCGTTTGCTAGCATGCTGTGAAATGCTTGAAAAACTTATGGCTGCCTCAAGATTTCGCAAGTGCTCGCGCGTAAACTTTTTTTGCGAAACAGTGTTGCGAAACCCTGTGTTTATGCATGTTTTTGGAAACTCGATTTCGAAACCCTTGCGACACCGACGGTTTTTGAAGGATTTCGGCATGCGCGCGCGACGATGCGCGCGCGTGCACTTCGTCCTGTCTGTTGCAAGGGAGTCGCGAACAAAAAGGTTTTATGCTAGAACAAAAAATGTCCCCGCGTATTGTTTTTTTACAAGGGAACCTCAGGGGGGCCGATACGGGCCCCCTTGGGATAGCGCGAGTTCATATTTAGGATGGACATGTGGTCAGAATCATGTATGATTTACATGCCCGAAAGAGGGGGCGGATAACGCTGGGGGGGGGGTAGAGTACATCTTATTTCTAGGAAAGAGAATCTTCGTGGTGCAATTGGCGTCGCGTTCGGCAATCTACGCGTGCAATCAATGTTGTGCGCTCGGTGACATGCTACCCCGCGTGGTGCAATCCACGCTGTGCGACGAACATCTGTCCGCAATGATTTGCGAGCTCCACTGCCCGCGCAACCACCCCGCCCGCCTGGGACTTGGTCTGCAAAACAAATTTGGCGGCGATTGCGAGGACCGCGTGGCGTTGGCTGGTGCTTCTTCTGCGGCCGCGCTAGCCCGCCCATGCTCACGCGCGCAGTTGCCAGCTAGTTTTGCGCGACCGTTGCGGCCGCGGTGGCGCTGGCCGACTTTCCAGCAGGCACTTCAGTCCGAGTCGGCGACTTGGGCGGCCCCGCAATCGCGGCAACGTCGACAATTGTACGCGCGAGGATGGTACCAGCGATGCTGGCGACGATGATGACAACGACGAAGGCAAGGCCAGTGACGGCGCTGGTGCTGACCACGCCGACGACGATGGCGGCGCCCTCGCGTCGGCAATGAAGGCGATGGGAGGAGTTGGACACGCGCGCGCGGCCAACGTGCGAGAGTGGCCCGCATAGTTTTATTCGACGCGGATCGCGCCCCCCCTTCCCAGCGCGCCGAGAGTGTTCGAATGATTTCGGCGCGCGGCGCGAGGGGCCCGTTTTGCCGAATTGTTCAAAATCTTGAAAAGCTCCTGGTTTTGGCGAGAATTGGCAGGTTCGCGACAGCAGGCTTTTGCGTGCAAAACTATCGACGCATAACACTTTTGTTGGCGTATTTCTGGAGCGCTCGATTTTGAAACCCATGCGGAACCTGAGGTTGTTTGGCGGTCGTCGGCGTGCTCGGGCGACGACGGGCCCGCGCGCCTTTCATTTTTTTCCGCGCGGGGCCCCGGCGACGGCGCGCGCGCGGGGGTGCCCGAGCGATTTCGACGCGCGCGCACAAGTGGCGCGTCTGGCGGCGCGTTCTGCAAATGTTCAACAACCAGCGGAAATCGCAAGAGCGCGGGCGCAGGCTTTGCGGTTTGAGGCCCCCTTTGCGAGGCCATGTGTTTTCATGAGTTTCCGGGGCGCTTGCCTTGATATCTTTGCGAAGCCTTTCTAGTTGTTGAAGGGGCCCGGCCCGCGCGCGCGACGACGCGCGCCCGCGCGCGTGGTCCCATGTTCTGCCGAGGGTTTCTTGGGGGCTGATGTGCTTTCGATGAACGAGCGCGCGCGTGGCATTTTCTGTAGGTGATGAGGGGGGGGGGGGTGAGCGAAGCCTGCGTAGCTGGGATGATACGCGTTCGCGTTTAGGATTGACGGGCGCGCACAATGAGCACGACAACACAACCCAAAAAGGGGGGCCGTGAAGCCCAGGGGGGGACGGGGGCAGAATATGCATCTTTTTAGTCACCCTGCCGAACTTCAGGTTGTAAATTCCACTGCTCGCGCAATCATCCCGGATCCCGCCCGCGCACCCGCAACTAGGTTTGCAAAACCCAGGCGGCGGCGATTGCGATGACTGCCTGGCGCTGGCTGGCGCGTCGCCGCGGCCGCGCTAGCCCGCGCATACTCGCGCGCAATGTGGCCAGCTAGTTTGGCTGGGCCGACGCGGCCGCGGCGCTGGCCGCTGGGCGCTTCCAAGCGGGCACTTCGGTGCGAGTCGACGACATGGGAGGGCGCGGTATCATGGCAATGTCGACAATGGTATACACGAGGATGACACTAGCGATGCTGGTGACGATGGTGACAGCGACGGCGGCAAGGCCAGTGACGGCGCCAGTGCTGATCACGCCGACGGCGAAACGGCGCCCTCGAGTCGGCGATGAAGGCTTTTGAAGGAGTTCGACGCGCGCGCGGCCGACGCGCGAGAGTGACCCGCGCGGAATAATTTGACACGAGTCGTGTCCCTCCCAGCGCGCGCTCAAAGGACGCTCGAATGATTGCGACATTCGGCGCGAGAGGCCTGTTTTGCAAATGTTGATGGGATTGTTGAAAACCTGTGGTTTTTCCGAAGGATTAGCAGGACCGCGAACGCAGTTGTTTGTTTGTGTGGGGGGAGCTGGCATTGCAAAACCATGTTTGTTTTCACGCGCGTTCGTGGCATACGATTTTGAAACCCATGTGCCTGAGGTTGTTGAAGGATTCCAGCATGCGCGCGCGACGCGCGCGCGTGATCATTTCGTCCCATATGTTGACAGGGTTGTTTGCGACAGCGCGCGCGCAAAGATAGTTGTTGCGATGCCGACGCGCGCGCGAGAGAGGCCCGTTTGGTAACATGGTCTGACATGTTGTGAAACAAAGCCGATGATTTTGTGCAAATACCACAAGAAGCCGAACGACATGTTGTAACAACCGTGTTGGAAAACCATGTGTCGTTATGGGGCGTTCGGTTTCGAAATTCTTGCTCAGCCGAAGGTTTTTTCCCGAAGGATTTCGGCATGCGCGCGCGACGACGCGCGTCCGCGCAGTCAGTCCGATCGGTTGTAGCACATTATTGCACATTGTTGGTTTTTGGTGAATGAGCCCGCGTGCGTAGAAGTTCTTGCAGAGGACGAGGGGGGAGGGCGGTAAGGGCTTGCTTGGGATGGTCTGAACTCAGATTTTGGGTGGTCGATGGGGCAAAATGGTATGTAACTTTGCATTACGACAAGAAGAGCCAGTCTGGGGAGCGGAGGGGGGGGTAGCGTCCATATATGTTGAAAAGAGCATCTAAGCGGCGACGGGGCGGCGACGGCGACGACATAACCACCAAGCCGACCCCCAGGCCCAGACGACGGGCGGCGACGAAGTGGCGTCGGGGCGGCGACGGCGACGACGTAGCCGCCAGACCGCCACACCAGCTCAATTCCGCAGAGAAGAAGTAGGATACCCTATGTGCAACCATTGTTTTGGGAACACAACTTCTACATGCCAGCGTTCATGCAGTTGTGTGGTCATGGGGAATTTTCTCGCCAGGGTCTTTGTCTACTGTTCCGCAGCCCATTCTGGGGCTCAGCTTGAGCCCGTTTAAGGCGATCGTGCTAGTGAACTGCATCCAGCGCTTGGGAAAAGATTCAAAGCGGTGCCCGTCACAGGTGTTATCCCGAGTGAAACACAAACCGGCTCCAGGGGTCCTACACCGCGCTGGCGAGCCTAACGGCGGAGGGCCTTGTGGTGTTCGTTGGGTTCCTGGCTGCCCTCATGGGGATCCGGCGCCCGTGCCCCCGCAGGCACTACTTCGTGCTGCTCGTGGTGGGGCTCCCTGCGCGGGGCTTCTTCAAAAGGTTCGAAGTTCGATGTTTTCGGACGCTTCGGTTGATTCCAACATCGTTGATGACTCTTGGTTTTACACTGGTCCTCCTCCTCCTCCTTCTCCTCCTCCCCCTATTCCTCCTCCTCCTCCTCCTCCTCCTCCTCTTCCTCCTCCTCCTCCTCCTAGTTCTCGGCGGTTCTCCAGGCGCGGGGTGCTCTCCAGCAGCTGTGCCTCGCCGAGGGCGTGCTGGGGGTTCCCGGGTCGTCCCCACATCGGCCGCCAGAGGTCCCCGAGATGTGACCCGCATGCCAAAGTCTCCTCCGCGCCATAGCAGCAATTCACGGCGGACGGCTTTCCAGTAGGGGATCGACTACAGAATCGATTCACCCCAGAATTGTTTTTTCTTGTCGGATCCACGGGCAATTCGTAGAACTATCGCAGACCTACGAATGGTTGACGTACTTTTGTGGAAGAGTCGACGTGGAGATCAATTTTGGGGTAAATCAATTCTGTAGTCGATCCCCCAGTCGAGGTTTCTGGGGGCTTCCAGCTAGTCTGGGGCCCGCGCCACGCCCGAGGGCAGTCAGAGGACTTCTCGGGATGCAAGGCTGGTCCCATCAAGGGGGTCCAGGCTTCTGGGGGCAGGTCATGAACAGACCACAACGTCGGGGGTCTGGGACCCTGGTGCTGCCGGAGTCGCAGTCTTGTCACGCTGGAACTCGTTCCTCGGAGGTTGATAGACCTCCTACCCTGACGCGTCGACTAAGGAATTGGCCGTTTTCGGTTCGCGAGAGGGCGTCGCGGCCGTCATTCTTGCGGGTCCAGGTCCGTCGGTTTCGGTCCTAGGCCGTTTTCACCAAGGGGAGGTTTACTAAGGGGAGGTTTGTCCATTGCCGAGTTTTACCCCGGCCCACGTTCCGAAGCCCTAACGGGCCTGTCCGCCTCGAGGCGAGCCGCAGGAGGACGGGCTCGACGGCCCCGGCTCTTGTTTCTCGTGGTGTTTTGTGCTTTGATCGCGGCGTCCCATGCAGAGATCGAAGGGCCGACTTCTCTTCCTCGGCGGAAGGTGGCGGAAGGCGTCCGCAATCCTCGACGGCTCGAGTGAATCTGGGCACGCTCAAGGCGTGCTGGGTGGCAATTCCCAGCCCAACAACCTCAGCGACCTTCTCCCGCTCGCGCGCGCGCCCATGGCAGCGGCGGCTTCTCAGGCGTGCGAGCGGAAGTACAGCGTCGCCGACAATCGGCGACGTGAGCGCTGGTCCTCCGCACGGGAAACCTGACCCTGGGACGAGGGACCGACCATTCCGTGTGAGGCCTCCCGGGAGCAAGTTGATAGGGGAGGTACACGGGCTTGTGTATGTGAGTGTGTGGCTCCACCGCAAGAGGTATACTTGCGCCACGGGCGCCACCACATTTCCAAATTGCAACCAATCAGGGATTCAAATACGGCCCCGACATCACGCTTTGCTTCCCCTACTGCGCTTTCTAGGACACCGGCGCCATCTCGGCGAGAACCACCCTTGACGCCCGTGGCCACCAGAGCTGCGAAACAGCAGTGCCGCCAGCGCCGCCGAGTTCGCCGCCGCACGCAGCGGATGCAACCCTGGGGGTACAACTACGAGAGTGAACCTTGGGGCCAGCCGCCCAGCAGAGATCTTCAGAATCGCCAGGGCGGCCCGATCTGCGTCTGCCAGTATCCCGAGCACCCCACGTGAGCCTGGGATCCCGAGAACGGCGGGCGGGTATCGAATCATGCCGACCCCACGCACCACCAGGACGAGCCGAGACGGGTGCCTGATGGCGTTCAGCCTGAAGTCGTATTCTTTGAGTGAGCTCCGAGGCACCCCCGCGTGGATGGAAGGAAGGTTGCAGGGAAGCACGCTGATTCGCAGGGGCCACAGAAAATGAAGAGAGAGAGACATAGAGAAAGAAAACTACGTGTCGAACGGTTATTTGCCGACCAATGAGGTCCGCCAGGCCAGAGTGGGCGAGCACCACCACCATGTGATGACCGCAGCCGGTCGAGCCTTTCAAGACCAGTTCTGAACATCATGCATGAATGCCTTCAGCCAGTTACTTTGTTCGAGCTGCCCTGGACGCGAACGCTGCGATGTCGCCGAGCCTACCGCATGTCGGATATGAAGGGCAAAGAAGGAGTTATGTGGCCACCAACTCGAACGGAATGGGACTCATTGAATGTTCGCAAGACTTCCACCCCCAAGCCGTGAATACCTTCAGCAAGAGTGCCCGCCAGAGCGGGGTGTGGAAGCAGAAGACGGTCAAAAATAACACGACATCGTATGTTGATTTATCCTTGAACGGATCATGCGGAGCCCGAACAAGGAACTCCCCGTGAGTCTTGGAGCTTGTTGCGGCCCCAGACCAGTGGGAGCTCTGATTTACATAGGACTCATAGCGCGACAACCCCCGGAGACGGAGCCAGCCAGATGGAACCGAGATGCTCTCGCTCGTGACCTGCAGCTCCGTCGTGGCCCTGGTGCTGCTCCATTAGATCCCCGATCACCCAGGGCATGGCGCATCATGGACTCACCGGGCGTTGGCGGGGGGAGCGTGGCGATGACCGTTGGTATGCCACACCATCATAGCATTTCGTGGCACCAGAACACCTGGTCATCAAGGCTTCTGCCATCCACTTCGTGTTGGGACCGACGAAGACGGCGAGACCCAACCTTGAAGACGCCGCGCTGGAGCTCACTGGTCGGAAGCACCAACTCCAGAAACGCACGGCTGCATTCTCAGACCAGACCGCCGCGAGGTGCCAGGCGTTCGGGCCCCAGTGCGACGAGGCATGCGCAACCGCGGCAGAAGTAGCCAGCGCTGAACAGAGATGGGGAGTGGCAGAGATGGCTAACGAGGTGGAGGCCGCATACGCCAACAAGAACCTGAGGGAGCTCCACAGCGTGATCTGTCGGATAGCAACCCAGACAGTGGCGCCAGTCATCGCGGTCACCAAGCTTCAGAAAAGGAGGATTATGCATGTGCGCGGAGGAGGAGGTGGAGGTCAGAGCCCAATCGTTGTGCGCGACCTTCGACGGCAACTTGGTGGACACAGGCAGCACAGGAGGGCCACGTGAAACCCTGCCCGGAGATGTCTCCCGCACAGGCTCACGCGCGGTCGAGGTCTTGAGCTGCCCTCAGTGATGCCCAACTTCAAGAGCGCCCCCGGGTCAGGTTCAAGCAGAGCGGTGCCCCGGCTGTCCCGACTTCCGCTTTCGAGCAGCCGGGAGGACTGGATGATTGGCCGGTGATTGAGCTATGGAAGCTGCGCGCGTCATGGACAGTTTTTTCCTGTTAGTGGCGCGCTTCAGGCGCGCCGCCTTTTCTGGCGCCCAGCGTGGATACCTGGAGATTGAGAAACTGCTTCGCCTGGGAAACCAAAGGCCGAGGCAAGAAAGCGCGGGGCCGCGTCCGCGACGCGCGCCTCATCAGTCATGCGGGGGAGGCATTCACGCGCGTGACCGCGAAGTTATGTTTGAGAGAACCGCCCCCCAAAATATCGGTCTCGCAGATTGGGGCAATGGCAGCCAGATCAAGTGGAGGCGCCCGCGCAACGGCGGCGGTAGGTATCGCGCGACATCGACCCCATGGCAGAACATCAAGTTTCGGGCAAATCGCCACCCCAGGGATGGCAATGGAAGTCCAAATGGACTTGGAGACGGCTTTCGGCATGATCGAACGAAAAGGCTCGCACTCAGGCGCGAGACCAGATTGCGGAGGAGCTACACGACGGAACGCGTTGCATCGCTCGGGGCACCCGCGCCAGCGGGCCCGCCAGGAAATTGATTATTCCTACGGGGGTCCGGCGGGGAGGCGTCGAGGGCCCCGCGCTGTGCGTCGCCTTCTGCGACCCCCTGACATCGCGGCTCGCGCGGAGCCACGCCCTTTCAAAGTTTCCAGAAGCATCGGTGGCGCGCAGCGTTCGCGAGTAGCGATGCGCCCATGACACCGCCGCCAGGTTCTTGGATTGCTGAAGGCCGGGGGAACTGGGAGTAACGTGACGATGAATGACGCGAAGGCCAATATGCGGATCACCGTGACATGGGGAATTCGGCAGAGCCAGCGCGTCGGCGATCCGAGCGAAGACGACCGACATCCGAAGAACGGAACACGGTTTCACGCCATTCCGAGCGCCAAACATTCGGGATCGAAGCAACGGGGGAGGGGGGCGCGCGATGGAGGAGGAGGAGGAGGAGGAGGAGGAGGAGGAGGAGGAGGAGGAGGAGGAGGAGGAGGAGGAGGAGGGGGAACGCACGGAGTGCAAGGAGCTCGCGCTGCCTGCTTTCGTCTCGCCCGCCGCGCCTGCAGGGCCACCTCAGCATCGGCCTCCACGCGCGGCCGCGGTGCGCGCTTGTTCGCCCGGCAGCCGCGCGCAAATTGACGGCGGCAGTGGTTGCCATGCGTGGCATCGTCTGATTCGAGAACTGTCAGACCAGAAAAATGGGATCCTTCGCCCGCCCCCGCCCTGCGCGCGCGCGTCGACCGAGCGGTGCCGAGGCCCCGCGCGCTGCGCTCATTCGCGCAGTGGCCTTGACATTCATCATAGAACGTCGCACGGCGCGGCGGCAAGGGCCCCCCCGCCCCGACTTCCCCGACGTGCTGAAGACATCCCCGCGGGAAAAGTTGATAGCGCGGCGCAGGAATGGGGGCCGAAATGACGTTGAGTCAGACCAGGCGGGGCCCGCCGCATCAAGTGACATCCGCCTGTCGATGTTGCGAAACAACGTCTCGTCTGCATTGGGCGCTGCGCTGTAGCCATCCGACTGGTGGGGGCGAAACCGCAAGGCAGAACGTGGGACCGCCCGCGCCGGCGGCGCTTGGAAGGATTGACTTGGCAGAGCACCTGGGCGCTAACGCTGCCGACATGGAAAGGCGAAAATGACTTAATGACCCTCTGTGGGCGTTGCCGTCAGCAGATCCTTCGCGATCATGCTCCAGGGATCTTTCTGTCTGCATTCAGAGCATTCTTCCAGCTGTGAAAGCAGGGGCGGGACTCCTCCGCACGGGCCCCGGCGGGCCCAGAAGGGCGCCCCGCCCGGGCCCTTAGGAGGGGGGGGGGGGGGGGGGGGGCGCGGGCCGGGCGGACGAGGAGGCCAGAACCGAGAGGTGCCCGAGACAGGAGCGCCCAGGGGGCCGGCGGCACGACCCGACATTTTTGGTCAGAGCGGTGGTTGTTTGACGTTTCAGTTGCGAGGGCCTCGCGCATAGGGGGGCCAAGTCGCTGGGCATCTTCCAGGGCGACTTGCGCGCGTTTTGGAGCGCGACCGCCTCTGAGGCCCAACAGACAGCCACAACGGCCCATGACCTCCAGGGCCGCGCCCCTGCTCCGTCGCGACCCCAGCATTGGTGGCTGCGCAAGGCGCCGAGGGCCCGAGTCAGACATGCAGACAGCAGCGCGACTGAGGGCGAAGCGAAAATAGCCGCGGGAGGACTCCCTCCATCAGACCTGCTTCTGCAGTGTGCGAACTGCGCCAGGATGTGCCAGGGCAGCGAGGCGCTGGACAAGCGCATATTCCGCGCCCGCGGGGGGCGCGCCGGCCCCGCGGGCCACTGGGGCGCGACGCGATCTCTGAAATGCCCCCGCCGCCCTGTCAAATTCAGCCGCGGGGAAGCCCTGGTCAGTCACGCGCGCCTTCAGAGAGGCCTCGCCGCTTCGCCGCCGCCGGCTCAACAGCGGGGGCGCCGCGCCCTGGGGCGGGGCCCCCTGATCTAGTGGCGCCTGACGGCTCGCCCCCAGGTTGCGAGGTCTGCGCCGATCGGAGAGATCGCGGCAGCCAAGCGACAGGCAGAAGAGCCAACCCCATCCAGAGACCGAAGCAGCGCAAGGGCGGCGGAGCTCCGGGCGGGAAGTACCAGGCGCGCACGCGCCGCCTACTGCTGCAACGCTAAGTCGACCACCAGTCGGCAGCCAGGGGCGACAATGTCACGCTGGCTCGCAGGGAGGGAACCAGGGTGGAGATGGCGCTGGAGGGGGGCGACCAGAAGTGCGCGCAGACGGGCGAGATAAGCTCGCAAGGAGGAGAATTTCACAGGGCGCCCGATGGGCAAGAAGCCAGACGCGCTACTCGGGGCGATCATCTTCATAACCTCGGAGGCCACCGCCAACAAACCACACTTAGCACTTGGCGCCGTCAAAAATGGCCCGAACCCGACCGGAGCAGCGGAGTCAAAGAAGGCGCTGGAGTAATGGGGCGCTCGCGCCCGGAATTGAAATAAAGGGAACGGTCAAGTCGACGAGATGCTTGAAAGTCAACGCGAGCGAAGGAGGAGCGTGCCAGACCCGCTGGGCGCGGGAGGGCATGCGACGCCCGCCCAGACCCCGTGGGGGGCCCCGGTGGCGCTGAGGGGCAACGGAGGGCTCGTGGCGGCCAGCGCAACGCTTGGACACGATCACGGCCCCAAGTCTACAGTTGCCAAGCAGACAAGCATATCGAGCGTATAGTTTTCACGAGCGGCGACAAGGGACGCGGCAAGGTACCCAAGAATCCGAATCGGCGTTAGAGCGTGCAAATCTTGGTTCGCCCAGGTTCAGCGTCGCCATAGTTCTCCTGATGGGTCCCCAAGTAATGTCTAGACCGACGCAGCGAGCGCTTAGTGCCATGTTCAAACACCAGCGGACGTCTTACCCTTGTACAGAAAGGCGTTCCGAATCGTGACAGTGACTTGGCGGGAGTCGCTAAGCAGTTACTAACCTCTCAACCCCGCGACGTCGGTGCACGACGGCGACGGAACGTGATAGCCCAAGTTTGGCCAAAACGCAATGTACCCAGGACGACAGATCGCAATCTACGCAGCGAGCGCTTCGTGATATATCCAGACGACAGCGGGCGTCTTCTGTTAGCGCCGTGCAGTGTTCAGCATGATGATCGCGGCTCCGGCAACTTGCTAGGCGGGCCGTCGGAACGTCGCTGGGGTTGCCCCCGAGCTCCGGCGTGCCATCGGCCACGCGGCCGTGACAACGATTAGCAACATCCGGCCCCCCTCCCCAGGAGGAATTGGGAACGTGACGAAAGTGACTTGGTGGTTCTCTTGTGTTTTGCTGTCTTGGCGCATCCGTGTTTTTCAACTTCCTGTAGGGGTGGTTCGGTGGCGAGAAGAAGTGTGCAAACTCGTTGTCGTGACTGGGTTTCGCGGGGTGAACCTATTTTAGTGGGGCTGAAGGTGTACTGTGAGACCGCGTGCTGCCGCCACCGCCTGCGCTGCCCCTTTTTGTTTCCCCCCCATATCTTTGGGGTCGTGAATCTCTGGTATAGCCGGATTTGGAGTGGGCGGCTTCCTTGGCCCCAGAGGGGTCAGGGGGCTGCTTTCACGGTGCCGTGCCCGCCTCCGCACAGGCGGGGGCGCGTGAGTGTGCGGCTGTGGCGAACCCCGCCCGCGGCTCACCGCTCTCGTTCCGGGACCGACCTCGTTTTAAGTAGTAGATTGTAGGTGCGCCCATTCCGGTCGAGTGCTGAACTTGGGCCCTCGCGAAGCGTTTTGCAAGGAGTTTGGGCGCAGTATCCTATAAGTAACAAGGCGTCGGCGGCAAAGCTGGGGCGGCTCCGCCAGCGGAAGCTGGAGGAAGGCCGTCAGACATAATAGTGGTTCAGCCCCGAGAGGCGCGTATGTTTGTTGATAATGACTGTTGTTGTTGCTGTTGGTGTCGTCGTTGTCGTTGTTGTTGGTGGTGTTGTTGATGTTGTTATTGTCGTTGTTGTTGCTGTTCATGTTGTTGTCGTAGTTGTGGTTTGTAGTTGTCGTTGTTGTTGGTGGTGGTGTTTGTTGTTGCTGTTGCTGGCAATGTTGTTGTTGCGTTTTATTTTCGGGTCGGGAGCATCCGTATCCGTGGCTTCGCTGTCTGGATTCTTCGGCAGCGATCCCATGGATAGAGGGCCAGCCTTTCGCGGATGCCCTTCGCGAAACGCATCCGTGGGATCGTGCGTCCATGGGGTCGCGCCTCTTCGTCAGCACCGCGGGAGCTTCAGGGGCGTGGATAATGCGACCAAGTGACAAACAAACAAACCGGGCAGGGACGATTCAACGAACAGTTGTTTCTCGTCTGGGTCGCTGGCCGCGGCTTGAGGGCCCCGACGACGACGACGACAAGCTGGGAATTCACGTTTCATCGTCCATTTCCCACTGGGGCGTTGCGACCCCTTCCGGTCATTTCTTAATCGCTTGGTCGCGTTATAGATGTGGTCGTCGCTTGTGAGGCTTTACATGGTGGCGTTACCTCTGTTTCCCACGGAGCCCTCGTGCGACGATCGGTGGCGTTACCAACAGTGCACGATGGGCAAGGACTTGTTGCGGCCCTACCAGCAGGGGTGCGGGCCGCAGGGCCTGACAGCCTCGGTGGCGAACCTTGCTCTCATCTGCACGTCTCCACACATCGTGCCCGAGCTGAGGCATCTGCTATTGTTCGTGGCCCTGGACATGGCGGGGTACGTTGCGGCGTCTGTAATCTACCTCTACGTGGCCGGGCTGGGGTATTACACTTGGGTGGATATTATGGTTGCCACCCTTTTGATCGCTGTCGCCATCGTGATGGCTGCATACACAAAGTACAGGATGCGAGCGCGACAGAAGTATATGAACCTGCTCTACCAGCGAAAGGCGCATGCCTCCATGAAGCTCCTCGACCTGCTCCAGGATTTCCTCCCGGACCACATCATTACACAGATGCTGAAGAACCCGAACGCCATCTCCGCAGAGCAGATTCCAAAGGCGTCCGTTCTGTTCGTGGTGATCTCGGACTTCCACGGTCACATGAGCCGGCGGTCGCCGGATCAGCTCCTGGACTTCTTGAACACCCTCTTCCGCAAGATCGACCGGATATGTTTCGATTGCCAGGTGACGAAGATCGAGACGGTGGGCGAGGAGTTCGTCGCAGCCGTCGGCGTGGAGCCAGAGGACTACTCGAATGGGAGCCACAACCACGGGGATGTGCTAAGCCGCCTCATCGTCGCCGCGGTGGGTATATTCATGGCGCAGGAGGGCGATGAGGGCGAGCCCCTGACAGGCGTCCAGTTCAGAATGGGGCTGCACACTGGCCCGGTCGTAGCCGGCGTGATCGGGCAGAAGTTGCCAAGGTTCTGAGACCAAAATCTTCAGTGGCCTTCAGCCCATCCCGCCACCATGCCTGGGCTGTGGGTCTGGGGCCTCTTGTATGGTCGTGGAAATCTCGTCGAGACCTCTCGGGGGCCTCCTGGAGGCAGTTTTGACGCCTCTGAAGGCCTGTGTTGGGGCCCCTTGGGGCCTCTTTTGGTCCTCTTGGGGGCCTCTTGTGGCAACGTGAAGGCCTCTTGGGAGCCTCTTGGGGCCTCTTACGGGCCTCTTCGGGCCTCTCTCGGACATTCGGTTCGTGTTCCCCCTCTTGGGCCCCTCGGCCGTCTTGGGGCCCTCTTGGGGCGGCTTGGGCGCCGCTTGGGCCGTTCTGGAGCCCTTTGGCGGCCGTTTTTGAGCCTTTTGGGGGGCCTCTGAGCAATCTTGGGGTGGTCTTGGGGGCCTCTTCGGACGTCTCAGAGCGTCGGAAGCTAAGAAAGGAAAAAATCCCGAACACATCGAAACACTTAGGGGACATCAGTGATTTTGGCCTCTCGGGGCCCTCTTGGGGAGGCTCGTAGGGCTCTCTTGGAGCGTATCGAAAGCTTCTTAGGCCATCATGGAGCCATTTGGGGCGTCTTGAGAGGACTCTTAGGGCCCTCTGGGCCCGTCTTGAGGCTCCCTTGGGCCCGGAAATGTGACGCGACGAGCGGCGACGGGCCTCATGAGTCACGAACCAAGCCCCAGGAGATTTGTGAATGTGGGGCCCGGCCCACATAAAGAATCCCCAGGATTGCGGAGTGAGGCTCGAGGGGATCCAACAAGGGACCTGAAGATATTCCAACTCGTGCCCGAGGGCATGGTGGTGGGTTTGCATAGACATAAGCCTAGGGAGGCCAGCGCTGATTTCTTGGATCGGCGCTGGTCCCTCCTTGCGGCGCCTCCCGCGCCACCCCATTGGGATCTCCGCGCGCCGGAAAGGGGTGTCCAGCGCCGATGCAAGAAGTCCACTCGGATCCGAAAGTTTATGTTTATGCCAGTTTTTCTTTCTCTACAGGTTCCGCCTATTCGGCGACACGATGAACACCGCCGCCAGGATGATGCAGAAGGGGCTCGACGGCGAGCTCCAGTTCGGTGAGGAGACCCGGGCGTGCATGCCCACATGGGCGCGGTACCGTTCCAGGGGAAAGGTCGAGATGAAGGGGAAGGGCCAGGTGGACGCGTACCTCCTGGACAGGTTGGGGGAGGACACCAGGGACAACGACAGGGGGGCTGGCCCAAGGCGGAAAAGCATCGACCCCCAATTGCCCATTCTACGTCGATAGCGGCTGATAGCCCGCCGCTCTCAGGAACGTGCTGTTTCGCAATCGGGGACCATCGCCGATCCATCGGCGATGCAATGCCGATCCCAGCTCGGTGTGTCCCCAGCACCCCCCTCTGAGCCGGTCCGCCCTTCTGCTCCCCCTAAGGATTCTGGGGGGAATGTTTGGGAGCAGATCCGCTCCTACGGGCTCCGCAAGGCCAGGCGGGGTAGCCTGGATAGCATCATGTCGCACCGCAGCTGGGACCCAGACGATGATGCTAGCGCAGAGCAGGAGCAGGAGGACCTGGGGACTGGCAGCAGAAGCGCAGGTAGCTCGATCTTCAGGGACACTCGCCTGAAGAGACTCGAGCACAGGGTGGCAAACTATTTCAGGGGCGGTTCGCTCTTCGGCGGCGAGGTCAGCATCGAGTGGCTTCAGGAGTTTTATTACTTCCGCATTGCGAGCCACCTGGGGCGGCGTTCAGACAGGCTCGCCGCCGTGATTCTAGTGCTTACCCTGGCAGAGGTGTTTGTGGCTGAGATGATGCAGCCTCGCATGGGAGATGTGCTCGGCATGAGACGGACTTGGCTGTTCCTGGTCATGCGCGCCACTTTGCTTGCGCTAATCTTTCGGTGGCGCATCGTTGCACAGAACAAGGATTGGATTTTGCATTCGCCGGCGGAGGCGGAGCTGTGGCGGTTGGCGCACGCCTGCGCTTCGTTGGTCCTTCAGTTTATAGCGTACGGCCTGCTTTCTGAAATCGAGGAGTTCAACCTGGACTTGAGCGTCTCACAGGCCAGGGATGAGATTCGGAGAGAGCCCCTCAGGGTACCCCTGTGGCAGATGATGTTCCTCTTATGGTACGGGGTGACCGTGATGGGATTGCAGCTACGGGTGGGGCCGACTGTTTGTTTCGTGGCCTTCTCTTTGCCAACGCCGTACATAATTTCGTCTGCAGTTCCGGCTCTTCGCAACGTTGGAAGCTCGGTCCAGCTTGTCAGCATGTTCATCATGGGCGTGGTGAGCGTGCAGATAGCCGGGATAGACGAGACCCAGGACAGGGAGCGGTACATGGCGGAGAAGCAGGTGAAGTTTGCGCAGCACCGCATGGACTCGATCCTGAGCCAGCTGCTGCCCCCCCTGGTTGCAAGCGAGATGAGCAGACGACCCAACAGCGTGAAGATCCTGCATCACAGGCAGGAGTACTCCCACTTTTACCAGCAGGCCACCATCGCGTGCTCGGACCTCGTGGGCTTCACGGCTCTGGCAAGCACGCGCACGGCCACGGAGGTCGTGGAGCTGGTCAGCGACCTTTTTGGCAGATTCGACGGGCTCAGCGACGTCTACCGGATCTGCAAGATCGAAACCGTCGGCGACGCTTACATCGCCGGCCAGGCGGCCCGGCCGCTCACGTCGGTCTACAGGCCCGTCAGCGTGGTCCTCTTCGCGTCCGAGATCGTGGAGGCAGTGAGGGGCTGGTCTCGCGACATGGGCGTCCCTCTCGACTGCCGGGTTGGCGTTCACACCGGCGAGTGCGTCGGTGGTGTCGTCGGCGCGGAGATGAAGCGGTACCACCTATTCGGCCACATGCTGTCAGCCCTAGAGCTGCTCGAGTCCACCGCCCCGACGGGGCAGGTTCAGGAGGGAAAGATATACACAAGCACAGAGACATGCTCATTTCTCATAGAGATATGGGAGACGATGCGAAATGGAGGGGGCAGGGGAACTCCGGAGAAGGGGGAAGACCAGCACGGGAAGTCCAAACAGTGATCTAGACTTGTCTGTGTTCCCCGGGGCCCCCTTGCAGGTGCACCTGAGCGGCGCGTGCCTGCGGGCCCTGCAGGCGCAGGCCACCGCAGAGGGGTTCGGCGACGAGGTCGTGGTGTGCACCCCCAGGACGGAGCTCGTCCTGAAGACGTCGAAGGGGGACCTGGTGCCCAGGGGAGAACCCAGATCTCCACGGACATGCTTCCTCGAATCCTGGCGGCTGCTCCTTCGCTTCGGCCTCTTGGTCTCGTCGCCGGGCCCTGGGACCATCAAGCACGGATCGGGGACGCAAGACAACCTCTGGGGAAGGGTTCGGGAGCCCTGTCGGACGGGGCTAGAACGAGGACAAATCCTTTCCGGAGCGTTCCGGATCGCTCTCAGAGCGTTCTGGAACGCTCTGAGAAGGCCGCGGCGCCCGAGACATCTTCCAGAGCCGCCGGATCTCAGAGATTCTCGATGTAACCGCACCCGGTTTTATTCTCGTCCTACTCTTGGGGGTCTTTGCGCTGCCACGCCCGGGATGCGCGTCGGAGTCTTGGCTAGAGCGCGGCCTGGGAAAGCGTCCTGGGGTTCGCTTGGAGGCCCTCTGTCAGAGCAGGAGAAGGTACCGCCGATTCCGCTCCTTTTCTCTCGTTTTCCCCTGTGGAGGGCCTCCTGGGAGGCCCTTGTCGCCACCGCTGGATTCGCCTCGACGCTCCCCAGGAGAGGTTCAGGGAGTCGCGGTATCGGTGCATTTGGGTTCCCCCGTCCTGGGCCCTGGTTGGCCGACCCAAGCTGTCAAAACCATTGCACAATAGCTTCCTAGGCTTCTGTATAATGTGCTGCACGCTCGCCTTGTCGATCTTCACGGGCGCCAGAGACGGCCCGAGAGGCAACCGAGAGAGGCCCAAGAGGGTCCCGGGCCCTGGGGGTCCCCGAGAGGGCCCCAGGGCGAGGAGCTCGAAGGGGAGCAGCGGCACCCGCATTCCTCTGCTCGCTCAGGTGCTGTACCAGGACATCGGGGGCGCGCCAACGTTTGTGGTGCAGCGCTGCGCCCCCGAGCTCTACGATCTCGAGGTGGGGGTCATGGCCGAGTCGGAAGACAAGCCGACCGTGTCGGCGTCGATGGTGCTGACGCCGGCCAGCGCGCAGTCGAGGGCCCGCACCCCGCTGGGTGCGTCCCGCCACCTGCACCCCGTCCCCATCGGCGCGACCACCGTCTGAGCCTCTCGGCGACTCCCGCCGCATGCGGCACCTCGGGCCTCCCAGGAGGCGGCCGGGAGCAGAGGCGGTCGGAGGATCGCGGCACATCGCCGATGCCTCGGCGGTGCGGCGCGATCTGGAGCCCGATGCTCTCCGTCCCGACGTCGCTGCAGCGCCCATGCATCGGCGATGCGGTGCGGTCCTCCGGCCCCACCTGCTCCGTTTTGTTGGTAACTTCCTTGCGTGTCACCCATTCGTTCGGAGGCGGGGCGCTGCGTGCCGGCGCGGGGCTTGGCCCGAATGCCGTTTCGGCTTTGTCCTGCTAGAGTATTTATCCAGTGGTGTGCGTACGCACCGTTGTCGCATGACTTTGGTGATTGAGCGCGCGATTGTATTGGCGCTCCCCTTTCTCTGCCTCCTATTTCAATGACTGTTCCGTCGGCACGACTCGCGGCAAAGCTGACAACGAGATGCCACACGAATCATACCTACAGTGGGGACGCGCACTGGGATACCGTAGGGTCTTCGTCAGGGTTCTCGAGGTTTCTTCGTTTCCAGCGATGCGCGGTGGCTTTCCCTGATCGTGAAGAATCTGCTGCGCTCATGATACCTTGGTTTCCTTTGCCAATCGCACCTCGCGCATCTCCTTCTCACGTGCAGGGAAGAAACTTCTCGGGCAAGGGTACCCTGGGTTTCCTCCGAGTGCAGCTCCTGGTTGAGAAGCCCATGCCCTGGGCAAGAAGCGCTTTTGATTTTCAGGGCTGGGTTTCTTGGCGGGGGGGGTCTTGCGGCCGCGCCCCCACGGTAGCACTGCGCTGCGCCCAGGTGTCTGTGTGAGAATTCGTTGACCTGCTCCGAATGCCGCAGGAGTCTGTGGACTCGGTCTGCCGCGCGACGACGGCACGTTCTTTCGCCCAACTGTGCTGGCTTGATCGGTAACCATCTTCGGCGGCGAGCGAGGGGGGAACTGAGAAGGAGAAGGCCTTCTCAGAGAGCGACGGGACTTCTCAGAAGCCCTCGCGCCTTCTGAGAAGTCTTTCCTGTCTTCGGGGAAGGCTTAGAAAACTTCTCTGAAGACTTCCGAACCTTCTGAGAAGGCCTTCTCCTTCTCACTTCCCCCCTCGCTCGCCGACGACATCTGGGCTGGAGGAGCGTCTTTGTCCACAGCTCATGGAAGCACGAAGCCGACTCCGGGCAAAGACGTCACGGGGTTGCTCTTCGCTAGTCTGACCGCGCGGCCGACCTTTGGCTCGTCGATCGCGTCTGCTCCGCACACCCGAGCGACCAGACCATAGCTGCCGCGAGCCTTACTCTCCCTTCCCGGCCGGAAGATTTCACCGTGGCAGAGCCTGACAATGGCCACGACGCCGCGTCTGCGGCAAAGACTATCGAACTAAGAACACGAGGAGGAGGAGGAGGAGGAGGAGAGGAGGAGGAGGAGAGTAGGAGGAGGGAGTTTGGTCCGGGTGGGGCACCACAGCTCGGAGGAGGGCCAGTGGAGGCTCCGGCGGCTCTCTCGCCTTGGCCCAGAGATCCGCTCAGAATCGTTTCGTGGACACTCCCCGTGGTCTTCTTCTTCCTCCTCCTCCTCCTCCTCCTCCTCCTCCTCCTCCTCCTCCTCCCCTCCTCCTCTCCTCCTCCTCCTCCTCCTCCTCCTCCTCCTCCTCCTCCTCCTCCTCCTCCTCCTCCTCCTCCTCCTCTGCTGTGGCGACGTCCAGGAGGCTCGAAAGGAACGAAGAATGCCAGGGAGGGCCACGGTCGTGTCCACTGGCCCTCCTCCCATGTGGGTGCGGAGCCGCAGCGTACACACGTCTGGGGACGAAGCGCTCTAGAATCTGGGCCCCTGGGTTGTCGCGGCGGCACTGGGGCTCTCTGGCTGGAGGCTCCTGGCCCAGGGGGGGCTTGCTGGGGACCGCCCGGGCGACCCCGTGGGGCGCGAAAGACATAGACGCGACGATGCTTGGAGAGCCGCCGCCAAATGCGCGCACTCCTGGAACTGTGTCAAGACTTCCTTCGCTGGCGTCTGCTAGTTTCTACCCGTCTGTGCCCTAAGCGGCCGCCCCTTCGCGGGCCGACAGCAGCGCGTTTTTATTCAGATCCTGGCAAGTTCACTTTCATGGCACTTCGGCCCCCCTGCCCCCCACCCTCTCCTCGCCTCCTTTTCGAACAGCGCCGGGCCGAAACGGCGTCCAAGTGAGTTCCGACCTGCGTAAAGTCCAGATTTCGTTTCGGGCCTCGTCCTCCTCCTCCTCCTCCTCCTCTTCCTCCTCCAACTGTTCGTCTTCAAGGCGTTGTAGTGTCTGGCCTTGCCGAGTCTGTTCTGAGCGGGATACCGAGAGGCCTCTCGAGGATGATCGGTTGCAGGGGACTCCGCTGTCACATTCTCTTCCAAGTTACGTAATCAATCGTGGGTGTTTGTAACTTCGCCGCGCCCGCCCCCTCCCAACTCCATGCAAGCAAGCTTGCCAGAGTCTAGAGACAAACAGCCTCCAGTCTAGATGGGGGCCCTGCGAGCCTCGTCCCCGCTACCTGGCCCGCCGAAGGGTGCCCAGATCTTGGGCATGCCGCGAGGCTCCGAGGGGGCGCCGGGGCCGGCGTTTCCATCGGGCGCGGCTGGCACAGGCCCTGGGCGTCGTGTTGTTTTTGTTTGCGCAGCTTGTTTTGTTCACCTCCTCCTCCTCCTCCGCCTCCTCCTCCTCTTCCGTTCCTCCTCCTCCTCCTTCTCCTCCTCCTCCTCCTCCTCCTCCTCCTCCTCCTCCTCCTCTTCCTTCGTTCCTCCTCCTCCTCCTCCTCCTCATCCTCCTCCGTTCCTCCTCCACCTCCTCCTCCTCCTTCGTTCCTCCTCCTCCGTTCTTCCTCCTCCCGCTCCTCCTCCTCCTCCGTTCCTCCTCCTCCTCGATCCTCCTCCTACCCGCTCCTCCTCCCCGCTCCTCTCCTCCTCCTCCTCCTCCTCCTCCTCCTACTCCTCCTCACTCCTCCTCACTCCTCCTCCTTCGTACCTCTCCTCCTCCTCCTCCTCCTTCCTCCTCTTCGTTCCCTCTCCTCCCTCCTCCAATTACTTCTCCTTCCTCCTCCTCCTCCTCCGTTTCCCCTCCTCCTCCGTCCCCTCCTCCTCCTGCTCCTCCTCCCTGCGCCTCCTTCTCCTCCTCTCCTCCTCCTCCTCCACCTCCTCCTCCTCTCGCCTCCCGCTCTCCTCCTCC